ATTTTCCCTTGGAATTTGGCAGGGGGGTTGGTACCCCCTTAAGTGCGAACCGGTGTCACCGGCCTGCCTACGGGGTTCCAAGGTGTTTTTGTACTGTTACGTGATCGTCTTTTATTTTATTTTACCCGTGAACCAAAAAGCATAATATAATATAATAATAATATAATATAATATAATATAATATAATATAATATAATATAATATAATATAATATAATATAATATAATATAATGCAGTGTAATGAAGTGTATTGTAATGTAATGTAACAGTTGTATCCTTATTATTTCACAAACTAATCGACATGGTAAACACGTGTTTGTTTCAGGCATATATAGTGCTTCGGCAGACCACTACACTTATCAGGTGCGTGAAACCTGGTGGGATTTACATAGAAACGCTGAAAATGTTGCACACCAATACAGAGGGCAGTATTCCTCCGAGTTGTATGCCAAAGAAGCAAGAACAATTATAAAAGATCATGATGTCAACAAGGTGAGTATTTATTTCAAAATTCATTGATGTTTTTAGTGTAACAATTTGGAGTTCGTAATTGACTTTATACAAAAACATTTACCTAGTAACTAAGATAATTGTTATCAATTGTGGATCGCAAAATTATATTATAGTACTTTTTAGCATGTTCAAGTAATTATGATACCTTAACTTGATAAAAATTATATATTTTTATGACAACAAATTAGAGTGATATATATATATATATATATATATATATACTGTTGCACGGGTTAAATACTCTCACGGGGCCCGAATTTAATCTGGGATTGGACATTCCTACCTGTAAACAGTGGGTGGACGTGACTGTGTTTGTTTTAAAGAAAAGCTGTGTGAGTGATTTATTGGGGTAATTAAGGCCACAGACTGAGTTCTTGGCAGAATATTTATTCTCTGTATTTATGCTACGTTTCTCAGTTGTTTGCGATATGTACATGCCCTTTACAGAGACGACGTTGATATTCAGCGTCTGGAAATGTAGCTAAATTATATAATCGTATTAAACATGGCAGAGAAAAATCAACACTTTTGTCAAACTGCCAGGCCCTGGTTTTGCCATTTTACACAACAATTTTTATTCAGTATTCAAGATAGTCAATGCCGCAAGGCTGCCCATCCATGGGAAATTTTAAAAACCTCCCGCTAGCACGGGAATTTCAATATCATTTCAATATTCTCCATACTAGATAAAGGGAACAATCGAATCAGCTGATAATTTCTCCCTTCCAACTGTGTAGACGTAGCTGACATATGCCACTCACTTTCTTATAAGATACTTCACGGCAACATGTGGACGCAATGACATTATATATAACATTATACTAAATGCAGTATTTAGCTGAGTACACTATGTAAAAGTGCCGTTTAAAAACATTTGCTTGTTCTTTCTTATAATGAATGATTAATAATTATGTTGAGATATGTCATTAGATATACACAGAGGAAAATAGAAAGAACACTGGGAAAGTTTGTGAGTGAATAATAATTAGGTGAACTGTTATATATTGAATTTCATGGTGTATTGCTCACTACGTTCACACAAGATACGCTAAATTTTTCGAGTTACGAACCTATCGAGCTACAAAAGATACCATGTTTTAGACGGAAACCCCGCCAAGATTCGCAAAACCCTGCCTAAATTAGAACGTGATATGCAAATAAGTTTAATTGCTAATTAATAAAATTAGAACCATGGTCATCAAACAAATACTCTATGCTCTGGGCGACTACAGACACATACTGACACGACAATCATCATTACAATTTTTGCTTAGTATTGTTGGCATGACTACCGATTTTTTTAGCACTCCATCATAACCTGTATACAATTGCTGTTACAGCCAATGTTCTTGTACCTGGCATTCCAAGCTGCACATAAACCTATACAGGCACCCGACAAATACATCGACATGTATCCCGATATAGACGATCCTGCCCGGCGTGTGTATGCTGCCATGGTTACATGTATGGACGATGCGATTGGTAGCGTAGTGGACCAATTGAAAGAATCACAACTCTGGAACAATACTGTTTTAATAGTGTCCACAGGTGAGCACAAACGTATATGAGTATGTGTGTTTAATTGAGCATGTTTATTCTGGACATTATGGATTTAACATTTGGTTGAATAATTATTCATATCCGGCTAGTTACTTCTCACATATTAAATACACTGAAATAGAAATATCTATACCTGGAGCAAATAAATTGGCACAGGGAGAAACTATTTACAGTTGTCTTTTGCAATCGTATGAAATCAGGGGGAATGGTCCCGACTATATACCTAATTGGTACTCTATGGCTGTCACCATAGCTCTACTGTGTCGACAATACGATACCAATATAATGTACGTTCACTATACCATCAGATCGACACAAGCAGAACTATAGACCCACAGCTACAGTTTTTTGATATCACTATAGACTCACTATCAGCATATTTGTTAGTGAAGTGTCAATATAGACAATACAATATATTACTGATATTATCAATGAATCCCTGTATTTTGGTATTTTTTTCATTTACAAAACCGCCGTCGTCAAGGCATTAATTAAAAAGCCATCATTCGACCCTAATAAATTAAAGAACTATCGCCTGTTTCCAACTTGTCGTTTCTCTCGAAGATTACTTCAGTTAAACGATCATCTAGTTTCCAACAGCCTATTGAACCCACTACAGTCTGCATACAGATCACACCGCAGTACAGATACCGTATTACAAAAAATCGTAAATGACCTTCTGGATGCGGTAGACAAGGGGAAGGTCAGTATTTTGACTTTATTGGCTTTTTCAGCTGCCTTTGACACCATCGACCATACGATCCTACTACATCGATTGAAACACACTTTTGGCATGACATCGTTAGCATTTTCCTGGTCAGAGTCATATCTGACTGGACGATCACAGACCATTTGTATTAATGGCGTGAAGTCGGATGCATCACCATAACTGTTCCACTGGGCTCAGTTCTAGAACCCGTTTTGTTTGTCCTGTACACAGAACCACTATTTGATGTTGTTAAAGCACATTCAGTGAATCACCATGTCTTTGCTGATGACAATCAACTATATACAAACACTAATGTTCATTACATTGGTTAACTATCAAGATTGTTCAAAATTGCATTACCGACATCAAAGATTGGATGACACAGAACAAATATCAACTTAATACTCAAAAACCAAGGCTATGCTTGTATGCTCATCAAAAATAGCATCTAGATCTTCACTACCTTCGAAGATGTCCATTGCTGAGTCTGTTATCTCTTTCCTGTCATCAGTCCGCAATATTGGTGTCACACGTGATTGCAATATCAATATGTAGCAGCAAATACATAATACATGCGCAGCGTGTCCCAAAAGTTCGTCACCTTATTGTTCATGCATTTACCCCCTACTATTCTTACATTCAACACCACTTGGTCAGCCAGCTGGTGTCTAGTTGTCCATCTGGGTGTGTGGGCTGATTGCATAAAATGTTCAAAATATATCAGTATGTCTCACTGGTTTTGAGAGATACCCACATAACCACACCATGGGCAAAGTCAAATCTGGACATCACAGACTTTCTGAGTCCCAGCTCCGTGTCCAAGCTGTTGCCCTTCGTAATGTGTGAAAAAGTTGTCAGCAGGTTGCCACATCCTTAGGGGGGACTGTACGATGGGGTGGACCAAGCATAACAAGCAAGGTGCAGGCCTTGAAATTAAGCGCCAATCTGGACGTCCCCGTGTGTTCACTGCCAGAGCCACGGACATCATCAGGAAGGCTAAGGGCAGAAGGCGACAGTTATACATTGACGTGAAAGGCCCTAAGGGCACTGTTCATCACTATTTGACCCAGAAACTTAATTGATGGCATTCAAGAAGCCCAAAATACCATGATTGACAAAGATCCAGAAAAGGGAAGAGTTTTTCGCCGGTATGCCAGCTTGACCCCAGAAGTCTGAGAGAACTCGATTTCCTCCGACGAGTGCCCCTTGTATCTGTTTCTGACGCCAAACAGTCAAAATGACCGTGACTACAACGATAGTTCTGAGAAAGTGCCGCCTTCTGAGCAGGTGAATTTCAGTGCCCATACCATGGTGTGGGGTGTCATGTCAGCATCCGGGCTCTATAAGCTTCGCATAGTGCCACATGAGACCACAGTAAACGCTCAATAATATCTGCAGGAGATACTGGAACTGACACGGTGACCATCATGAACAGAAAGAAGAAGATTGGTCCTGTCACCGGCCGGAATATGTACAAACGACGCTCGGACATGGTGTTCATGCAGAATGGTGCACCTGCTCATACCGCTCGTGTGAGCCAGGAGTGGTGTTCCAGAAAACTTCCTGGCTTTCCCCGTAAAGGGGAATGACCTCCCCTGACTTGAATCCATTTGAGAGCTGCGGGGGGGGGGGGGGACTGAGTGACAGAGTCTACAGCAGCTGACCCCCTATGTCCATGAAGCTGCTAAAGGCAAGGGCAGGAGAACATTGAGCCCTCGGCTCTTAAGGACTCGGTGCACTTTATGCGTGAGAGGCACAAATCTGTTACTAAAATGAAAGGGGATACAGTGGATATTAAATTATGGGATTCTATCAAAATGTGTTTGTTTTATTGATTGCTAATCTATGTAAACAAACTTTTGGGACTTGGTGTATATGCAAATCATGCTATACTCAACTAAAGACGTGTTTCTTCTATTTGCCACTATCTTACAACAAATGCAACACAAACTCTCGCCTGCTCTCATACTATCTCCCAATAACTTATTAGCCGGATGCCCTTATTATTTGATTAAAAAACTTCAACGAGTTCAGAATTCAGTAGCTCGTCTTGTCTTCAAGCGATGTTTATCTTTTCACATTTTACCACTTTTAAAATCGCTTCTCTGGCTTCCAGTTAACAGACGCATTGAATATAAAATGTCAAGTTTATGCTACTTATCAATAAGTAACACTGGCCCACGATACCTGTCAGATTTTCCATTCCGCTAGACAACTACGTTCGTCATCAGACGATCGTATATTAATCAAACTATGTACCAAGACTAAATCACACGAGGAACGTGCATTCCAATATTCAGGTCCACGCATTTGAAATTGCATACCCTTCTCAATCCGCCATTCAGTCTCGCATTCATTATTTAAGAAAGCACTAAAAACCTATCACTGTAGTCAGTTTTACTAGTTTTAAATTGTTCTTTTCATAGTACTTGTGATTCGTATTGGTAGTCTTATACGTTATGTAATGCGCATAGAGCTCATTTGCGCATGATAAATTCTCTAAATAAAAAAACTAGCGAATGCGGGTGTAATATTAAAAGTTGATTTATTGTAATTGAAAATATTGCTACTTGTAACCATTTTAGAAGTCTCATGTGGTTTTGAAGTCACTAGCACATGTACTGTCGGTGTGAGCATACGATACAGGAAGTGTAAATAAATGCTCTATTATTCTATTGTCAGACAATGGAGGGGCTCACATAAGTGGAAACAACTGGCCTCTCAAAGGCGATAAAGCAACGCTCTGGGAGGGTGGCGTACGGGGTGTATCATTCGTTACAAGTTCACTTCTATGTGATTATGTGAAAGGAACATCAAATCATCACCTCATGCACGTGACTGACTGGTTTCCTACAATATTACATATAGCTGGTGTTGATGATGACGTAATAAAATCAAAAGAATTATATGGTGTAAATCAGTGGAATACTATAAGGTAAATAGGTGGGGTTTTGACGTCATGTGTGTTTTAATTCCATTTTCAATTCATGCATTTTATATTGATTTTTCATTTACCTCAACATATATGTATTTTAATTCTTTTAATTACCACTGTTTGTGCCAGCTGTTCAATTCGACTGATTTCCTACAAATGCTGAATACAGAAAACAATTTATTTGACCCTGAAGTAGTTAAAGCCTTATCTGGCGTAGATTGATGAATGTGCCAATCTGATAAGATGTAGGTATACATAATGTTATTCCCAAATAAATCTATATCAAACGAGATGTACTTGTATTGGAAATGGAAAGTAAGTCACAACACACACTTATTAGGCAGGGTAATAGCCAGGAATTTGAAAGTGTCAGTCAAAAATATGTTTTGAGGCATTATATATGACACAATTGTCAAAGAACATATAAAAAACAGAAGACAATATGAAATGTTTCCTGTCAAAGAATACTTACCTGCAAAGTTGACAAGTTCACAAGTACCTGGACAATACACTGAATTGTACCACGTGCATTGTGCAAGTTGTTTTATATTTCAAATCCATGCCATGAATTATTCTTTAATAATACTGTCAGTTTCACTAATGTAGCATTTCCTTATAGAATACTGAATTAAAAATCAGTGCAATGTTCATATGTGTTTTTATGACTGACAATCATGTTTACCAATTTCAATCCGAAACAAGTTTATGTTAAATGGACTGGATCTAATGTCAGTTACTGTCAGTAGCACGCGGACTGATTTCTTTGAGAGTAGTACAATTCTCCAAAATGTAAGAATTATTCTCTACAAGCACTCTGTTTCTGTGTGCTGCTATCAGGTTTTCCAATTCTGATAAAATATACAAATAATTAACCAATGTCAGTAAAATAAAGAATATCTGGGCTTTGATGGGTAAAGAAAAAATGATGACCTATTTAGTTATGTATCGATATCGGATATTATCACCATCCTCGAAAATTTATAGAAACACCCATCGTTTTACAGAAAATGTCAGTGTGAAAATATTGAAAGCATTAGAAGGAACTATTGGAATTATAAGACCAAGCTAATGACAATTGTCATTGTCATTTGTCTACAGTCCACAGTGAACATAACAAAGGGAAATGGGAGTTGCTCATATTGAGTTTGTAGTTCCAGGAACTGGAGAAGACCACAATGAAATGGCTTCTATCCTTCTGCATGTTTATTTATTATTAATTTTTTTAAAGTTCACCCTCACATATGAACATAACAATTCTCAACACTCAACATATTGAAAAATGACGCATGAATGCATCATGGGTAATTTAAGTAGATAATAATGTTATTGGGTGCACTGCACATATAGTGTGTAAGTTCACGCGAGCATGAGAAGGATTATGACGTATAAAACGGTATACTAGGTGATTTGGCACGTACGGTGTGAACATCACGCTATGCCTTTTGGGGGAGGCAGTGGCTTGGGTTAGAAAATAATTCATATACGGCGGACATTTGGCTTGGGGTATGAGGTTTGGGTTGACAAGTCTCATGAACTAGGCTGTGTTTTGTCGTTAGGTATGAAGTCATCAAACGAGAAAATGTATCGCTTAAACATTGAATTATGCATTCTACTCAATGAACATTTATGTAAAATATGAAATTGTGTGTGTGTGTGTATAAGGATGTCACCGTTTACACTGTATCGCTGTTACATTGTACATAAATTGCTCTTTTGATTAATTATTTTGCTAGAACATATAGCTTCTTTTTAAATATTGCAACTTTGCAATCGCTTTTCACAACTTTGTAATCAGTTTGTCGTTGATTTCTCGGTACGCTGTTGGATAATCTGCTTATATACGAGGCACGTTT